TTCTTTGTGGTATTTATTCTGTATTCACTGAGATATTTGAATGCTAATCAAAATAAATACATAAAAAGTTTAATAAAATGATCAGTAAACAACATAATCAATAAAAATCAGAGTTTAACTTTGAAAACAAAAATCAATGATTTAGTTTTGAGCTCTTATTAAGCACGAGGATATTATTTCATTATTGATTATTTAGCTTAACTGGATGTTTGAATAGTTTTATTCAGGAAAATAAATAAATAATTATTAAAAGGTACATGTACTGCAATCCTGCGTAAGGTCGAGGTATCTCAAGTTATTGATCTTCATGCTATTGATTGTCTAAAGTGCATCAGTGAAAGACTTTTAATTTTAATTCTGTGTATCACAGTTGGAGCTCCCAGGATCGAACCCACGTCAAGCTGAACCTGGACTGGTCTGAAACATAGAAACACACACGCATGAATAAGCTGCTAAATCTGGAGCTGATGTTATAAATAGATGGTCCAACGCTGTGCTCGCCCACAGACCTTGCTGTGGGAGAGGCCCTGGCCCAGAATCAGGCCCAGTATGGAGTTCAGGATGTTGGCCCCACAGAGGACCGTCTGCAGGCCGCTCACAGTCCCCATCACACTGAACAGGACCAAGTTCCACTGGACCACCGAGCTGGGCTCCAAGCAGACCCCAGACCACAGAGTCCTGTTGAACAGGTATCCCGAGTGTCTGAGGAGACAGGAAAACATCTGCCCAAGAGTACAAGGAAACATCTTTGACATTACTCCGAGTGTCTGGGGACAGAGAGACAGGAAACCACTAAAACCAGTTCAGAACATCTGTGTGTGTCTCACCGGCCTGGGAGGGGCTGCAGCGGGACCCCCCAGGTGGGACCAGAGGAGTCGTTGTAGAGGCAGAGGGGACCCTGAGACAGACCAGTGGCACTGACCAGGGAGCAGGAGGCAGCAGAGAGCAGGCACAGGCAGGAGTAAAGCAGCTGGCACAACATCTGGAGAAGAGAGACGCGATATGACTGACAACATCTGGAGCAGCTCACACGTGTCAGAAAAATACAGACGTGGTTTCCACTTTGATAAAAAATATCTGTGATGAAAATCAGTGCGAGAGGGGGTGGAGCCTGAGGTCACCTGACTCCTGAACGCACAGCAGCCTCGGGTTCTGCTGCTCCGGACAAACGCTCGAGCTCCAAGTAGAACCTGAAATCAGAGTTTAAAAATTCTAGTTAACCTGTTACACTTTAACTTGAGGTCAAATCACAAAGAGGAACATAAAACACATCATCAGTCAGCAAATTATACTGATGCACATGTAACTGATGAAGTCACTACAGTGAGTCAAAGGTCAAACATTGAATGTACTGTACCAGACCCAGCACACAGCTTTATCCACAGTCACTGAGCAGATAAATCCAGGAACACACAAAATCCTCAGTAAGCAACTAAAACAAATTCAGCTATTTAAAATGACATGAATATGAATGATATGGCTGGATTGTCTCATCTTTACACAACCTGCTCCTGCTGTGATCGACTCCAGCCTCTATGGAGCAGAGCTTGTTCCTGTGCTGCCATGATTAGTGCCTCTGTGCTGCTTTTCAGTCCAGCTTTGTCCAGCCACTGGTAGGATTTCTGGATATCAGCCACCTCCTCTATCTGCTGGTGGTGCATACCGTGCAGGGGCCTGTGCTTCCATGATGGTTCCTCCTCTTGCTCCTCTTCGTTCTCACGTTTCTGCTGCCTGAGGTGCTGACACTCACCGGTCCCCGGCCTCCTTCCTTCTGCTTAGTGTACAGCCTCAGGGTGCTGGACTTGGGGTGAAACCCTCCATGCATGGTAAGGAGCTTTCTTGTCTTGATGTCAGTGGCTTCTATCTCCTCCTTTGGCCAACTTATTACCCCAGCAGGGCACCTGATCACAGGCAGGGCTTGGTGTTGATGGTCCTCAGGACTTGCCTGACCCTCTGCAGGTACTTGGTGGTTGCAGCTTTCCTAGCGGCCTCTTCATGGTTCCCATTCGCCTGCGGGATCCCCAGGTACTTGTTGCTGTCCTCGATGTCTGCAATGTTGCCTTCTGGTGGTTTGATCCCCTAAGTTTGACTACCTTTGTCTAAAACTGCTCCGTGTCCACAGTATCATTTTCAAAGAGTTGTTCATCCACATTGAAACAGCCAAAAACGCTTACGTTCCAGTACTGTACATGCGCGTAAAGTAACACGATTCAACCTCCCTCATTTCTGTCTGCTGTCGCAGCAAAATGTCGAGGAAAAGCACCAAATTTTTTAAATGGACTGACAATGAGGTGGAGCTGTTGCAGCGAGTAATACGAGAGCACAAAGTTGCAAGAACGAGTGAGAATGAAAGAACTGGAAGAAAAGCCATCTGAGCATGTACAAAACTGATATTAACCTTTAATAGGGCTGTCAAAACTGAGAGCAAACAAAATGCTCTCCACCACCTTAGTTGAATTGGTCACATGACTGCATCACATGACTAAAATGCGTCATGGCTTTACAAAGCCTCCATTTTCACAGTCCACACCACAACGCGAAAACTCAAAACAACAGTCATAATTCTTCTTTACTTCTTAGAGAACAAGAACGAAACTGAAAGGATCTCTGAGGGTTAGAGTTAGACGAGACTGGACAAGGACATGGGAGCTAAGCAGGAAAGATAAGGGAGAGAGAGGCGTCCGCCTCCCCCAAGAGTTGAAGTGGAAAAACACTAGGCCTGTATTGCTGTTCGCCACGTCCCCGTTGAGTTCCTGATGAGGGGTCTTAGGATCCTGTTGATCTGTTGTGGACAGGTCTAGGCCTTCCAGGATCCAGCTGTGGGGCACTGAGTCAGGTTTTCCTGTAATCCATCCAGGCAGTGCACAGGTTGGTCAGTCTGGTCTTGCAGTCTCGGCTGACTGTTCGGTCTACCAGTAGCTGGTGTTTTGCTCCTCTGGTATTCTTGCCAGTTCCTGTTTGTGTCCCGCTCCTGTTGTGACCCATGTGCCTGTTCATCTTAGCCGCTATGATGCCTGACAGGAGCTTCCACGTGGTGCTGAGGCAGGTTATTGGCCGGTAGTTGGAGGGGACCGGTCCCTTCTGGGGGTCCTTGAGGATCAGGACTGTCCGGCCTTCGGTTAGCCATTCTGGGTGACTAGCTGCTGGTTCCCCAGCCCCAGGATGGAACAAAGACTCCGGTAAGTTAATGGGCAGCGGGCCCATTAACTTACTGGTGCTTATGTACTCCAGGACCGGTACCATAACACCGCCTTACGGCGCATGTGCAATTTTCACTGTATATGTACAATGACAATAAAGGGCTGTTCTACATGGAGGAAGAGAATATCTCCTGCTCAGCAAACAAACAGAAGCTGAACATCCTAAAACCAAAGAACTCATCATGGACTTCAGTAGGCACAGACAGGTCCACTCTCATTATAAATGGAGAACAGGTGGATCTGTCTCCACCTTCAGGTTTCTGGGCACATCTCAGCTGATCTCACCTGGACCCACAACAGCATCGCCCAGAAGGCCCAGCAGTGGCTGCACTTGTGTCCTGAGCAAGAATAACCTGGACCAGGAGCTGCTAATGCTCCTCAGTGGAGAGCGTGCTCTCCTCCTGCCTGGTACTCAGGGGCCACGACTGAGAGCAGGAAGGCTGCACAGAGGGTCATTAAAACACCAAAAACATCCCTGGCTGCCCTCTGACACCCCTGGAGATCATCGCCTGATCCTCCGGTCTCAGGAAAACCAGGGCTATCACAGGTGACCCCTGGCACCCCTGGCACCCCGGCCACCACCTGTTTGACCCAGTGCCCTCCGGTCGGCGCCTGTGGTCAGTCAGGTCCCACACACTAACAGCTTCTTCCCCGGGGCCATTCGGACTGTTAACAAACACCATCTCAGCCCTGATCACTCAGACCACTCACACACAGACTCTACCCAGACCACGTTCTCTGCTCTACTTCCAAGCGCTTGGAACTTGTTCTTCTAATGCAGTGGTTCCCAAACTTTTTTTTTATGTTTGGAAACATATTCAGCGATGCTTCATCTCCTGCTTTGCGTTTGTGTGGGCGCCCGTGCTAGCAGTGTCCAAGCGTTGTTTGTTTGTTTTTCCCTTGTCATACCCCCCCCCATTGGATGGAGCTGCTCTCTCCAAATGTTCCTTCACTTGTTTAACAGCAACATTTTCAATAACCTTTGAAACCACAGGTGATACAGGTAATTG